GTACACATGTTGTTACATTCTAAATACTCCATTTAATACAGCTTGGAAAAGATGTACGTACGTGGCACGTGTGTAAAGGAATTTCGGTGAATCTGTATTTTCACGGCCTCGTAAACTTTACACCCTTTTTCTACTTATAACAGGGTTAACTGAGACCCGTAAAACAAGAGGGGAAAAACTTTTCGGGAGTCTCTCGTCGGACTTTGCGTTTATAAGTTTATCCTGCTGTTATCCTCAATATACCGTGTGCATGTGTATATATATATATATATATATATGGATCAAAGAAATGCTTTTTCATTATATAAGGAATACGAAAGGAGCTAATTTATACCGCACGAATAACTTCATTCGACATTTATCGACGCTACAGATTTTTATCACTCCTCGATCCCACGTTCGTGATAGCACACAGTGTCGGCTAATGCTCAATCCCACGTCCCAGTGATATGTCCCAGGTGTCCATCCCTGATAGGAAAGGGATTCGGAAAAATTAATGATTTCTACTAGGGATAATTTTTCCCTGGTTACCTAACCTAACACTACCTATGCTTTTGTTATGTATACGTATATACTATATGCTGCCTAAATATTGTACATTTAGGATGCTTTAACAATCCAGCCAGTACGCTGCAGGGATTTACGTGTCGTAGGGATATAGCGAAAATCACATTAACCAGATAATTATGTATCCAGGAAGCTATGACGAAGGAATTAATTATATAAAGAGCGAATCCAGACGAACAGGTATTGTCAGTTAGGTTACGTAGAGCTACTAGGGTGTCAACGGCATGCCCGAAGGGTATATAATTCTGGATGAATTTTGAAGTAACGGGTGGAACGAAAAATAATTTATGTAAAATAAGGAACGAGGGGATTACGTAAGTGGGAAACCGTTCTGGAACAGAGATACGTGATGATTTGAAAATACCAAAACGTCCGGTACATCAGTTCACTACGACCTCAATGCACCGTGGACCGAAATGGATGCTGCGAACCATTTGCATATATCGCCAAACTCTTTGCTGATTCGTGTACCGCCTTTCAAAGTACAGTTAGGTCAATGGATATATGGATATGGTAATACGAACGCCCTTAGAGGTTAATTACGGCTACTGAATTTGAAAAAAAAAAAAAAAGGTAATGGTTCGAAGCTCTGAGCTTTTTATCCGTATGTATGAGCTACGAGCACTTACGATCTACGTCATGCTCGAGCATATAAGAAAATTTGTGCTTTATATGTATATAGAGATAGGGGGACCCCACAATGATCCTGGGCGATTTTACCGGTTTTACGTAGTCGTTCTGTAGCCAGGTTGTGGATCTACAAGTTCTATGAAGGGCCAATAGCGTTTTATAAGGTTCTTGAATTCGATCGAGAGTCCATGGTGCATGTCACGGAAAATGGTATCCGTGTATATGGTCGGTTAACGACGATATTTCATGCACGATAAGGGATGAAGATTAAGGGTAGCAGACTTGATAATAAATAGAGGAAAAGAGCGATGAGGAAGGAGAAAATAAATAATGGTACGTATACCATGTATATATATGTATATTGATATTAAAAGACAGTTTCCACGACCTTCTTTTCTTACGTATTGGCAGTCTCCGGAATATTTGTTGTGTTCCAGGACGATCCTGGAAAACTTTTATGTCTATCGTATGCTTCCAGGACAGTTTGGCGGCACTCACACCGAATTTTTTTAACAAAAATTTGATGCTGGATAGGTACCTGGAGTTGTGATGGGCCAACAACAAGAAATAGTTCGTTAGATTAGATTAGGTTAAAATTTCAATGCCACGTGTCTCAGGGTTACTTTCTTTAAAAAAATATCTATATATATTTTGGCTTGCTGTTGTGAATGTCGCATGTCCTTGAAACTGTCCTTTGACATATATGTGTATATATATATATATGATATATTGAAACCGTCTCCGAAATAGCCAAACGCCAAATGTATAAATATATAGAAAAAGAGAAAGAGCGAAAAGAAAAAAAAAAGATCGATCGATAACCATGCCCATAGAGATCCAGAAAGATACCCCCCCCCCTTCCTTCCCCTCCTGTACCATTAATGACCTCGTCAAAAAATAATCGGCCAATTCGTTTCCGTCGAAAAGTTTTCGACGTTCCCGTTACAAGAACTTCGTTCACCTCCGAAAGACCATTTTCCAAATGGGAGCTTCGTCGTCACGCTTTTTCGAAGAGAGACGATCCGTCAAAGTTATGACGTGCCCGCACGCGCGACAAAAGTTCCCGGATAAAACCCTTTCGTTGTCAAGGGTGGTGCTCGGGGGGAAGAAAAAAGAATGAATTTTTACACGGTAAGACCAAAGACTGATAAAGAGGAAGGAAAACAAAAATTAGTTGGCGAATCCGAGAATAGGGGGATACGAAGGCAGAAAATAAATGTATCAAATATAACCCAACTTTCGTTCGAGACGTAGCGTTTGGCAGACACGATGGATAAGGACTTCTGAGAGTCTCCGAGTTACCCGAGAAAGATGCGAGGGGGGAGGCACGAGTACCAGGGACTCGAAAGAGAATCCCCTGGGAATCGTTACCCCAGGATTAATCCGAGGCAACTTTAACCGGGTGGTAAGTACAAAGAGTGGCTGGGATTAACGAAATATAATAGCGTCCAAGGCGCCCAAAGGAAATGGTCTGGGCTCTTCGCGAAGCAGAGAGACGGAACAGAATCTCCATCCAGCTTAGGAGTTTGGCGTCCTTCGCTTTGCATCCTGGAGGAATCATCGCGTCTCCAGCATCGTGTCCCACCCGTGCGCCATCCTCCCCGAAGCGTCCTACTTCCAGGGCGTGTAACCTATACCGACCGTTTCCTGAGAAAAGTCATGGAGTTTGTCGTAACGCTTCTATATAGACATATAAGGAGTCCAAAGTGTTACGTGTCCGGAGGTGCTTTCGCGTAGCAGACCGAACAATGCAACGAGGACGCGAAAGAGGGATAGATAGATAGAGAGATAGCGTGTGTGAGAGAGAGAGAGAGAGAGAGAGAGAGAGAGAGAGAGAGAGAGAGAAAATGGGGATAGAAGAATAAAAAAAGGGAATGCAAGGGGCGCCTTTGTGTGTAAAACGCAATGGCGACTTGCCCAAGCGATTTCAGTGACGCTACTGCCCACCAGCCCTGACTTAAACATGGGTGGACTGCCATTCTAATGTGTAATGCATACTGATATACATATGCAATTTTATACCATTGTCAGTATGGCTTTACGTGGGTACGAAAAGAAAATAACGGTTACACTCTAATATAAATGGTTGATCAACACGGTTAGCTATGTATGTGAAGTTGAACGTGCAAGTTGATATTTGCCATTAATAACGCACAGTGGGCAACTTCGTCGTGAAATCAAGGAGTTTCTGGAAATTCGTAAAAGCAGCACCTAGGCGACGTTTCGAACACTTCAAAAACAAACCCAGCGAATTTACGAATAACCTAGCTCGAAGTTTGTTACGAGCGAAATGTATAGATGGCACTGCGGTAGACCGTTAGTAGCGCTTGGTAGAATTTATGGTTACTGGGTGAGAACCGACGTACGACCTTGAGTGTCGCCGACCAGTTTTGACAGTTGCCTCAGACGAGCCAATCAAAGTCTATGCAAAGTACGTTGTCCGTTACTGCTTCCATCAAGCCTTGTTATACGTACATCCGCAATCATCAACATCTGCGTTGATTGTCAGGAGGTTCATCAGCGAATTGGATGTAAAATTTCACTGACGAGAGATATTCGTGAGGACCAATCACCTGATTGCCGGAAGTTCGCCCGCTTCCTGAGACGTCCTGGGAACGAGACGGGATTGAACGTTTCATTAGAGGGAAGCAAGAGAGAGAGAGAGAGAGAAAAATTCGGAATGCTATCCTGAGAAAGATTTGTGAACTATATTTATTATTAGGGTTTATTTTCACCACTGCCTCTCTTAATATCCCTGCGATGTTACGATCGGTGGGATTGTTCTTACTGTGATATATATAACTGTCACGTATTAGGATTTAATTAAAAAATTTTATAAGCCACCGGGCTTCCTACCGTATCCTATAGTCTGCCACGTCGAGTAATCGGATCCCGAGTCTTTCCTTCTTATTACAAGCCTATTCAGCTGGAAGTTCACGACGGCAGGGTTCGTCAATACAGCATCGAAATAAGATCAACAGGTTTTTTTTTTTATCTCGTAAAGCTCGTTTACGGCAGCGAGAATTATGGGCAAGTCTGCTGGTCCATTTACGATGTATGAAGAGTACATATGTATATGATGATAACGTACTCGATATAAATCACCTCTGGGTACCTATGTATACAGGTTTGACAAATTTTGCTTCTTACCACCAACTGTCGCGATAACCAGAATGAACAATGAACACGTGAGTAAAAGCCGACGCGTCACAACCACCATAACGATAAGGATTTATAATGTTTAAGTATTTAAATAAATATCCAACCACCTGTGTCTAGACCTATTCCCTAACCGACAATTAAGTAGACGAGAAACGATTTTCTGTAACTAGGTAGAAATATTCATGCTCTCGTTAACAACCAAGCCGACAGTACACTGAATATATAATATCATATCACGCGATCGGTTTTCGTCTTGTCTCGAATTAAGTATACTTGAACGGAGTATAGACGGTTGACAACCTCTTACGGCAAACTATACTATTCTTACCACAGCAGCCAAAACCTGGTCATTGTGTTCCGTGCTTGAGAGCACGCGGTTTGAAATGCGTAACTGAACGAGAATCGAAAGTATATTTGTATATCCGTTAAAGAATCTTATTCCAAAGATGTCGGACACTGGTAAAAAAAATAATTCTTAGTTATTTACGATAAATGTCTCTGAAGAGAGAGAGAGAGAGAGAGAGATGTCGCGCACGGTGTTATACGTTTCTTTGACAATGGTTGCAAGGATTCTCCTTGGGTCGTTAGCAAGGTACCGTACCCGTTCGGCGTCGTGGACAAACTGCATGCTTTGAGGAGCGTTGCACGGGGATAGCCAGAGGGCGGAAAGTGCCGAGTGAGAACGAAGTTAGCCGATTTGCTCTGAGGATGTTCCTACTGAGTGGGGGTAGTACACTAGTCGGGTAGATGCGTCGCAGGGATGTCATTTCATTTTATTTTTATGCTCGTTAATTGTGTCCTATTGTGCAAACGATGATATCGTCTATTTTCCGTAGAAATAAAGTCGTGTACGTTGTCAAATTGAGGATTTAAAGGGTCACCAGGGTAAGAGTCAGTTCTCTCCAATTACCAGTCTACGCTTTGTCCGTTAAACCGTTTTGTCTTTACTTTTAGAGAACTCTAGTGGCTCTGTTAGTCCAAAGTCGGGCACACATTGTTTGGCCTGCAGACTACATTAGTCCTTGAGGAAGATTATCGCTTGAAACTAATGTCAAGCTCGGAACTGAATGCTCTGATCTATTGATGTCTTAGACCAATATAAAATCAATTTTCCGCATTCGAAACCGAGCCTTCCCCACGCGTTCGCGCCTAAATCTAACGGTATCGGTGAGCGATCAAATATTTTGACAGTTTTGACACGTGTCACAAAAATAAACAATCATTTGAGGACCAGACTCAACGAATCGCAGGTTCAATATATAGACCGTTTATTTTGAAAGTGGTGTAAGTCCATTTTTGAAAAAAATGAGATATCACGAAATTCCTGCTTAATTTAATGTGAATTTATTATGTATAACTAGTCCGTGTTTAATTTCTTAAAAAATTCCCATGTTTTGTACAATTTAAAATTGGTCGGCAAAGGAAATTGCATAATCATCGATTATGAAAGTGGTGCAAATCCAATTGACAGAGGTAGGTGGCTTAGCAGATCTTTGCCGATCGGTAGCCTGTTATTTTACATTTGTTTTACATTACGTGTCATATTGCGATAAAAAAAAACAGATAAGAAAAAACACTAATGGAGAACAGGTAAATTGGTTGCAAGTATGTTGGATGAGGTTTCTCAAAAGTGCACCATACACTATTTTATACAAAACATCGATGAAGGACAAAGAATTTAAAACTACAAATTTATTACCTACACGTCCTAGAAGACCGCTAAATTTTGAAAAAATCGCCCTGGCGCCTTTGTACCAAGATGCCAGGCCTATTACTTATGAAAAATATAAAGGCATCAATCAGTCATTACCTTATATACCTCCGGTGCATCATGCATATCTCGAAACACTGCCACAAGCAGAGCGTAAGTAAATACTATCAATATCTGGAATTTTATCAATGTAATTAGCGTCTAAAATGAAAAATACTACTTCTTCTTTATGTCGTGTCAAAATTTGTAAACAATATTGGATTAATATGAAGTATATTTTAAGTGATATTTGATTTTTCAAAATTGAAATTAAACGAATTTTACAATTGTCTAATTTTGAAAGTGGTGCAAAACCATTTGCAGCCCGTAAGTATACATCAGTTTAGTAAAATACGCCTAAAACAAATTTATATAACCAAATTACATATTGACAAAACAGTAGAAACATTCCCAGACTTCATATAATTTGCCGAAATTTGTTAGTTAACAGATATGTTAACATTTAATTTTCTCGAAACATGAGAAAATGGACTTACACCACTTTCAAGATAAACGGTCCATATGTATATTTTGATGATCGATGTATTTGGCAATATCTACGTCAAGTTAAGATAGGTTAGAATTTCAATGCTAGGTGGCGCAGTTTGAATTTAAAAAAAAAATCCTTTCTCAGACTACCCATACGAATACCCCATAATTCGCAAGACTCCCGAACAACGCCCATGACAATTATTCGCGCGGGACATAACTTCGTGTTTATAACTAGAGGTCGGACAAACTTTTGGGTAATGGATATCCTTTACGTAGTCAACTCGTGTCTGTTTTGCCCTGTATGATTTTCCACTGACAAATAAGCAAGAGTTACCGTCTTTCAAAGGCTCAGTTGTGTCAAAGTCGCGCGCGAGTGGGACGTTTCGAGAAGTTGGCTTCGCCTCGCGAGTCTCAATGTGCAGTATTTGGCACGTGTGTGGTTATAGTTATCGAAGCGTGACGCCGCACCACGCGTCAACGACAGCGAAGGGATTTCGATTGGCTGCGAATTACTTTCGGGCCGACAGTTACTTTCACAAGGTTTTAAAAGAAAAACAGGCGCCGAACGCAGAGCCCAGAGAATTCGGGCCGTCGCCGCCGCCAATGAAAAATCTCCTGGAATCCAGCCAGGGAGCGATCCTTGGTTTTCTCGGAAGGCAATCGGCCCCGAAGGCTTTAAAGCGTCATGGACTTGTTGCTGATAACGTACGAGCTCGTCTTTTTCTCCTCGTATTTAGTCACCCAGTGCACCCGTAACAGTGCCGAGGGCACGAGAAGCGTCTTTAGGATCCCTCAACAGAAATTGATGCCAGCATCCGTCGCGATAATCTCAAAGTCCCAGCCCATATTTTTTCCTAGTCACTCTTTTTTTTTTTTTTTTCTTCGCCTTCGCCCCTTCTTTTTTATCTACGAGAAAAATATAAAAAATATATATAAAACCTCCGATCCCTACGAGGGACGGTAAAGTCGCGTCCAAGTTTTCTTAAGAAAGAAAATCTCTGAATATCTTCCGGGTACTCTGTAAGTTGCTTGATTTTTTTCATTTTTTTCCCAAGAATATTAGACATCCCTACAAGCAAGAGGCTCTTCTCGTAATTCATCGACAAAGAGAGTTCCTTCAGGAACCTTAATGCGAACCTCGTATTCTCATTGCCCACCAGCTAATGCTCTCTAGTACCTCGTGAGAAAACTGGAAGAAAAGAAAATAGCCGGCTGAAATAGGTTAAAAATAAAAGGTTCCAAGCGTTGACCCCTTTTTCAATAATTCTCTCAGCTGCTGATTCACATGTATCTGTCTGTTCCAGTGTCCATGTCCTGTCAACCTACTTTACTCCTCCTGGCCGCACCCTTTGCCGTGCGTGTTCCAACTCATAATTTAGCATTTATTGAACAACGGCTTGAGGTTGCCATAGGAACGTGACAGCACAACACACGCGATCGGAAGCAACGCCGGTAGTGGAACTGCCAGGATAAAACCTTCTATTACTACAGCAGACGTGCTATAGAAGTATTATCCAGCCTACCAACGTGAAATCCCTTGGAGAGGCCCAGACCAACTTCCCGCGAGAGTCCTTTGCCACTTTGGTATAATCGATGACACCCGGTATAAAAGCGTAATAAATATCACGAGAAAGGTGGATATTACCTTTCGCCGTAACAGCTCATACCCAGGAAAGAATCCCAGAGTGATTCTCATTGGAAAAAAGCAAATAGCCGAAAAAAAGACAGCAAATCACCTTAAGGACGTAAAAGTAAATCGCGCGAATAACGTCGAGTAACGAATGTTCAAATGAAAGTAAAGGCTTGCGAAAATTCAACTACTCTCGACGATCCCTTTCTATTTGGGACTCTCGATAAATACTGGTATACATATACGCGCAGGCAGTAAGCTTCGCCATCCATTCTTTCTGTTACTCTACGTGAAGGCAAAGCCACGTGGAAACAAATGAAAACAAATGTCGAGCCAGTCACGCGTTACGAGACGGCACAAGGGCGTAAGGCCAGAAAAATAAAACATACATAGAGGCGTAACGAGTGGTAAAAATGTACGAGATACGAAGTGCGCGATATTCGCATAGGGATGCGCATAGAAATTAAAGCCAGCCGAAAGGACGCAACTCGTCGACTCTCGTACTGCCAAGATCCATATTAACAGAAGGCACAGGGCGAGTATGCGCCATGTCGAGGACGTCGCTACAGTTGATTGATTCACACTTAAATAGGTGCAACGGGTTAGATAGAGGTCTCGATGTGAATGGTGCTGCTAAAGGAATGTTATTCGTCCACGATCTATACGAAGGAATGGTCGATTAAGTTTGACAGACAGAAATGCCCTGTTTCCGAATCAAACTGTCTGGATACACGAAGTAAACCGACCGTAAAAGAAAGTTTACAAAGAAATATTTCGCTTCGATTCACTTTCCCTGGGCTATTGGTGCTTTTGCTTTGACAGGAAACAGTCGGAGTCTCCCGCGTAGCAGGTAGCGCGCTGTGGCCCCTTTTGGTATTCGCTGTAGCCCCAAACTTTTTTTTTCCCACGCTAACCGACTCGAAACATCCCTTAGCCAAGGTCTCTTTTTCGTTCCCGACTTTTTAACGTGGCGGCGTCCTTAACACTAAACATACGATCGACGGGTCATTTGATCCTTTCAAAGGCAGGAATACGTTTATGAAAAATTGTCGGTATGTTTAGTGTTAAGCCATTCCGCGCTTGTGCACTCGAGGGCAGGAAAGCGATACGTCATTCAAGTTTTCGACAAGTGTCGTGGATAGGGACTAATGGTACTTTGGAAAAATGTGACACCTGTAACATATGAAAGGACGAAGTAAGCGGGAATTAAATCATAGTCGATTATTTTCATTATCGAATTTCTAGACGCTCCGATAATTACGAACGAGATTAATTTTCTTTCTCTTGGCTCAATGACTTTCTCCCAATGTACCTTATTGAATTGTACACGGGAAAACGCCGGGGGTCGCTCGAAAGATCTTCGGAGTTTCTTTTTTGAATATCCAAGCGACCTTACAGTGTATTTTCAGAATCGAGCTAAATGTTCCTTGGTCGTGGAACAGAGGAGTTTCAGCGTCTTTTGGTAGTCGCTGGCGGGAAACATTTGAAAAGGGGAATAAAAAGGTTAAGCGAAGAAGTAAAAAAAAGGGCATGAAAACGGAATACAGTAGTCGACTAGTCTGAAGTTGGCGAAAGCTCAAGACACTCTTGTTAATTGTCAAACTTCGGAGATACTCGTACCTTGAACGATATAACAGACTCGTTTATTTATTAATTAAACAATCACATAGAGTCAGGTACCCGATAATAGCCAATAGAATAAATTTAACGTTTAGCTAAATGAGCTTGCAGCTTAATAAGAAAAACAACTTTAAAAATACTTATAACCCAGCTATTTCGAGTCTCCTCTATTCCAATATGGCTGCCACTATAAATATCCGAACAGTGCACCGAAAGATCAGGAGGTAGGTGGAAGCGGATCAATAGATATAAACACCCGGTAAATAACATCTGTAAGTCAATTCTGTCTACGTACCAAGTGAACTGCGATGGGTTAGAAATCTGTGACGTTAAGCAAAATAAATTTATCGATAACGCTAAAAAAAGATTGACGCTCCTGAGAAAAGAGTTGGCTTTTGACAAAAGAAACGTATTTATTTGCCATTTTGCGTAAATTATTTATTAAAAAAAAAAATAGGAATTGGCCGCCTGAAAACACATGTTACGTGATATTTATTTTTTTTTACAGTACAAGAGCAACCACGCGTGCTTCGCGTATGACAAAACACAGCAGCGCTGCAGGGCTTTGAAACAAATACAGTTTCGTACTGCATTTTATTTTCGAAAAATACAATTTTCGTACCCAACAACCAATTTACTTTTTTTCCAAAACCAACGAAATATTGAATGAAACAGTTCATTCGCAAATCAGTTAGTAAATTTCTAAACATAACAAATATATCGCAATCACGCAAAATTAGTTCTAAACCAACTACGATTTTCATGGATAAAATATACAGTAAAGCAACGTCGTGATTCTCGTTCAATATATTTAATTTATCAACTTCTCGCAAATAAATCATTTATTAATTATAAACAAATAATAATTTAACGCAAGGCGAAACCTCAATCGGGCAGCATGTTCGTTATGACCTCATACGCGTTTGGTCGTTTCAAATATTTTCATAAAAAATATTAAAGAAACTGTTTCCTCGGTACGCAAAACGAATATAATCAATGATATTTAAATAAAAAAAAGTCATTTCACCTTATCATCCCTTATCACTCTAAAGTTAGACCAAGGACCAATAAAATATTTCAAATAGTTATATCAGGAATGTTAGGACAAGAATGAAGATAGCAAAGAGGAATCGACCAGCTGGACTGATAATCGTCCCCATCGAGCGACGTAATTGGATGTAAGCTCTATTGAAAAGCCATCTAGAAGGGTTGATAGGGATCGAAGCTTTATGCAAGGCGAGTACGGCGTGATAAGGGTGCTAAAGGACTGGAACGGCGGAATTTAGTCAGGTTCCCGCGAACCACACTGCTATACACTATAGCGCAGACTATAGCAACATGATATAGTACATCAAGAGTGAGGTGGGGGTAGGTAGATAGGTGGGCAGGTCCGATCGACAAAGCGCCGAAGGTTTCTTATCGTGGCGATAAGAAAATTTTCTTAAACGAACCTAAACCTACACAGACTTCCTCTCAGGTCCGGATAAACTCTTGATTAAGTCAGCGGAAGCCATTGTTGCTATTCCATCCTTTATCCGGGAAACGACCTCGGCACCGGCAGCGGACTTTTATCAGCTCTTTTATTTCAACTTTGACCCAGCACAGCTTCTTTCGATTTTCAACCATTTTTCTCCGTTATTATTTTCGTTATATATAAAATATCATATTCCTCTTAAATGACGTATTCCTGAGGATTCGTACACCCCGTTAATTCGTTCACTACCCCCCCCCCCCCCTAC